CTTCTCGATCCGACAGCGCTCGGTAGCGACCGGCCCGTTCGTGCTAGTATCTGGGAATCTTTGGGGGTCACCCCGCTAGGTGGTCGGCCCGGTCCTTTGCTCCTCCAGTTTCGAATGTACCTGGCGCCGCCCGCGTCCAGGTTCGTCCGCCCCCTCACTTCGCCTTTAGCACCCGATGGCTCCTCAGCTGCCCGCCACATCTGTTTCCTGCTCTACTCCGCCATTCTCAAGCTAGTAACGCACGCATCCTGCGCACACCCCGTGTCTATCTGTGAACGAACCCGGACGCATATAGCGTCCGAGTGCCCCCCCCCCCCTTTACAGCCCGTAGCCTCGTCTCTCCGCATTGCCAGAGGCTGTGTACCGCCGTTGACGTCCCAACCGCCGCCCGACGAATCGGTCGAAGTGCCGAGCACAAAGCTCCGGCCGACGGACTCCCTCCCAATTTATGCGTGTCATCCTTGCGCAGGGGCTATGCTAATCTTCTATGTATCGTTCCAATTTTAACGGATGTCCCGAAGGACTTTAGCCGCGGTAGGCGCCCCCTCTCTCTCCGCTTGCACCCACCACGCTATCCTGTCCACATTCGCCCACCCCCCTGTGCTACCTCGCCTTAACACCCCTCCCCCTACTGTGCCAGCCTGGCAGGCTGTCGCCACAGCCTTACCCATTCCTCTTGGGCCCAGGCGGGGTTCACCGCCCCCTCGGATCCCCAACAGCCCACCTGCCACGTGTATGGCTGGCTGCGACACTGAAGGTGCGGCCTGCTGCCAGGCCCAGCTTAGAGCCTGGGCCTTGGTAACTGGCCTCGGGACAGCCTCTCGGTGGTGACGGTAGATACCCCAGCTCGGGCTTCGGGGACCGCAGTGGGGGAGAGCTTCGTGCGGCTGACCCCTCCAGTCCTTCAACGGGCAGCCTCGATACATGCCCGACGGTACTTTGTGCCCCAATGGCACACACACACTCAGCCACTCAATAACCTGTCCGTACGTCGGACCCCTTGGCCCGACTTTTTTTTTTACGACGGCAGGATAAGGGAATTTGGTCGGCCTCCCGAACGTGCGGGCCCATCCAAACGAGCCGTGCGCTCATGGTCCTTGGTTGCCGTGACGTCCGCTAAACCCGACATCACATCCAAGTCAAAGGACGTCGGGATGTGAAAATAGTAGCAAAAAAAAATGACAACTTAGAACCGTTGACCGTCAGAATGTGACGAACGAGGGAACCGAAACCCCGTCCTAACACCGCCAACGTCCAACCCAAGGGGGATAGCCCGACGGCCCTCAACCCCATCAGCTTCCTCCTCGACGCTCCGCTGCTGCAGCGCCGACGTCCGCTGGCCTCGATCCCCAAACCTTCGTATCGCCAACCCAATGTCGTAACCCATAGGGCTATGCCCAAGCTTGAGACCAACACCCGCAAAGTACCATACAAGGAAGTGCGGCGCCGCGCTTTGGGCCAACAAACCGGCTGCGCGGCGCTTTGGGCCAACAAACCGGTTGCGCGACTCCCAGTGCCCGCACTGGCTTGCTTATACCGTGTCAAAATTGCCCCGCGCACCATCCTACGACACCCCGCTCACCGCACGAAGTCGCGCTGTCGTTGCTGATGCCATCGTTGGGGCCGTTTCTCCGCACGAGCGCTCGACTCGGTCAAACATAGCCATCGAAAGAAAATGGCCCCTACATTATAGTTTAATAAAAAATAACCAAAAATAAAAACTTGAGGATAAAAATAAAAATAAACAGACCGGCGCCCGCGCCGGTTTCGTAATGAACATCAAGGGATGAATCACGCGCGCCTTAAGCCTGCGCGCCTACGCACTCTTTACTCTAGTTAGTCGTCCAGTCAACGTAATTACAGACACAACCGCACCTAGCGCGGTATACTTAACTTTAAACCAAAACCATTTTCTGCCACTTGCATAGAACAGGGCGGATACCCTTGTAAGGGTATTCGCGCCGACATTGAGCCTGCCGGATACCAGCCAGGGGACGATCGGTAGTACCAGGGATAAAGCGGACCAATCCCTCGTGCCTCCCCTCAGGCCCCTCGCCTACGAACATAGCAGACTCTGCTTGATGCCGATCGGGGGATCCAGTGGTCTATCTCTTGGGTAGCGGGTGCYAAGTAAGCGCAGGAAGGTACATGAGGCCAATGGGGATTGAACCCATGACCTCCTGAATGCCACTTGCGAGCCTTACCAACTGAGCTAGGCCGCTTGATTTACAAACTGTTTTCATGAGTGGGTCGAAGTTAGACCTTTTTTTTTCTTTTTTTTCCGGCGGCCATTTAGTGAGGGATTCGACGTCGCCTGTTCCATTCGACACCGTGACGTCGTGTCCCTGTGCCCTTACCGCTGGTGCTGCCGCTGGAGACATATCACTTGCCACTGCCGCGGCTGCCGCTGGAGACTTGGCCACCACTCCCGCTACTGCCGCTACTGTCTGCACCCGGCCTCCTCCAGGTGAGCAACATAAAAATTGTGGCAAATTTTTTAGCAGGATGATCACGTGTGGACACCACATTTCAACCATTGGAACTTTGTTTATAAATTGTTTTGCGGGGGCGGGGTCATGTGTTCCACCAAAAGTGAAGGAAACCAACGTTGACCAAACATTGGGCTCACTGACACTGGTGTGTCCGTCTGTTGGTCCATTTGTTGAAAGGATGTTGGTCCATCTGTTGACCATTTGTTGACAACTTGTAGAAAACTTGTTGAAGACTTGTGGATAATTTGTTGGAACGTGTTGAGAACGTGTTGAAACGTGTTGAAAACTTGTTGAAACGTGTTGAAAACGTGTTCACCTTTCGTTGAACGTTACGTTCTGTGTATGGGAAAAAAATCGTTATTTTTGGCTCATTTCGTCGGTTTTCGCCGTTTCTTCCAGTCGTTTTCTCCTGGTGAACGATATTATATGTTTTTTCGCAAATGTCAATCGTTGAGTCTTTCAGTACTCCTGACATGCAACGACCACAATGGCTGAAGATAAAGAGAGAGGGCCACAGAGAGAGAGAGAGAGAGAGAGAGAGAGAGAGAGAGAGAGAGAGAGAGAGAGAGAGAGAGAGAGAGATGGAAGCAGGGTTCACTACTGCGTGACACGAATTCACCAACATGGCAGTGCAAGACAGACATTGGCCCGTAGTAGCCAACCTTTATTTTTGATTGGTGCTGGATTGCGGTATTTCATTTTGCTGATGGACGTGTGAGGGCGCGTTGAGTAAATACTGAGCTGCCCTGCTACAAGCACGGTTCACTACTGCGTGACACAAATTTACCAACATGACAGTTCGCGAGAGAGAGTGGCACGCAGTAGCCAACCTTCCTTTTCGAGTCTGTAGGATTTTCGTACTTCATTCTATGGACGGACACGTGTGGGAGCCTCAATTAAATGCTAAGATGACATGCTACAAGCACGGTTCACTACTGCGTGACACAAATTTAGCAACATGGTGGCATGACAGAGAGAGTGACACGCACTAGCCAGTCTAGCCAACCTCTATGATGATGACTACCACGGATGGTGTTTTTTTCATAACATAGTCGTTCTATGACCAATCACACAAAGATGAGCATTACAAGGGATTGTACAATTGTGTATCATAAATAACAGACCATATGTTGTAAAGTGACTGTTCAAGTGTCATGGTTCAGAGTCTTCATGTCCTCTCTCTCTCTCTCTCTCTTTCTCTCTCTCTCTCTCTCTCTCTCTCTCTCTCTCTCTCTCTCTCTCTCTCTCTCACACACACACACACATGGAATGAC